ACTACTGTAGCTCAGCCTTTCTGACCTCTATAGTACTATGTTCTCTCTCAAGTCTACTGCTGCCAAAATATTCTTTTCATTCCATTACCAAAAGCATCAGTCTCTAACTCCACACTAGACATCTACTTTACAAGGAGACTTTGAGTTTTCCCTACCCTAGTCAACTTAGCCAACCACAAAAAAGAAATGTTCTGTTCTTTTGACAATTCATCCAGCAGCTACCCTTGAACTCTGCTGTACCAACCTTTAGGCATGAACACAGTCCTTTCAACCACAGCCCAATGCTCTCTCAGGTCTCTCTCCAGACCTTTACTATGACTAACAGGCAACTACTCCAGCTCTCCTTCTTCCATGCTACACTATATACTGCCTAGTTCTGCCATGATCCTCAAGCCAGATAAAACAAGAATTGAGTGTACGTTGCCAGCACTGCCTGCCTCTTACATTAAGATCTTCACTACAGGTATCCACCTAACACTGCAGATCATTTTTTCAACTCAAAGTACAAGAAAATAAAATTTGCAAAAGGGGCTAACAATGTGGCATCCCTACACATTAATTTACTTTGTCCAGCTCTGACAGCAGCATAATAAGAAACGAGGGCTGACAAACATAGAACTAGAGCTATGGAAGGTCCTGAACGCAACGCATTTTTAATAGTTCCATTGCACAAAACCAAGTAATTGAATTTATCTTGGTCAAAGTTCAGCAATATATCATAATAGCAAAAAAACCCAGTAAGAATTACAATTAGAAACACTTCAGCATACTTCTGAAGAAATAAATAAGACCTAATACAGATTTAGTGTATAAAGTAACACCACCACATCTGATTAGCTACAGAAATGAGTCTCCAGATACCACTTTTGGTACACAGTATCCTTCAGCTGCAAACTGGTGAACATTGAAGCAAGTCATCTGGGGAAGCATCGTCACAAGCTTACCTTGCCTACAAGAACTCTCCCCAGGTATTTGCTACGGTCACCAGACAATGCTGGCGTGAATCCTCCTTCAGGCTAACCAAATGTGGAGGTGTTTGTGCTCTTGTACCCTACAACAGAACTTTTGCATCATTATCAAGAGATGGTTAAAGACAACAGGTATGGAGGGGGAAAAATTAATGCAGTAAATCATCAGATGCTATGCAGCACTAATGAATCCAGGCAGAGCACCATTCCAAAGTATTGTAACACTTCTGGTATCCACACTAATCCCCAACAAGGCAGTTCTGTTGTTTCTGCACAGCACTGTAATGTACCAGGGGGATCTGCCAGGTATTTCAGCACTAATCTCATTCAACATCTACAGTCTGAAAACCTAGTTGAAAGTACTAAGCAGAACAGGCTCATATTGCTAAACATGCCTAAATTCTTTACTTTGTTAACTTCATATTAAGAAGCAGAATTAAATCAGCTACAATTTTATGCTACTCAGAAGCTATTAGCTACATCTTAAGAGAAAGTGCCCTATTAGCTTCATACCCAAGCAATGCAAACCTAGCAGTAGAATCCTTAGTAAAAAGTTTAGAATAGCTTCATGCCATATTTTGAAATGCACTTTTAAACTCTCTAGATGCCTAAATTAGTCACATATCTTTAAAATACTGACTTTACAGAAACAGAAGGTATTACTTTGATGTACAAAAAAGGCAGACCCTAAGATGCTAGATGTAGTTTAAAACCTCTTAAGAGGATACAGTACCAAGAAATCACATGTAGTTCTAAGCATCAGTCACAACAGTTTGAGGTAATCTCATAATATTAAGGGACACTTCTCTGCATCGCATCTGAAACCAATCATTTTGTCTTCTATACTCCTGATCTAAACCCAGGCATTTAAGAATTTACACTGTTGCTAGATAAATCACTCTGTTGAAGCATTGGAATAAATATGACTTCATTCTCCTCACTCCTTACCTTCCAAAAATCTGGAAAAAGATGACACAGGTAACCTAAAGCACAGCTCTAAGACGAAATCTAATCAAGCATGGCTACTCACACTTGTGTATTATGAGAGAAAAAAATTCCTTTACAACACAAAAATCAGCATGCTACTGTCAGAAGGCAGTAAAAGCAATAGGTGTGAGTCCACTGGAAAAAAAAAAAAAAAGGAATGCTGTACACAAAAGAAAGCAAAACTCAGCCTTTACAACATAAAGAATTCCTAAACGTCACCACACCTACCATCACAAAGCAACTGAATGTGATCTGCTACAATCTCCAGCTCTGAATGAGAAAGTGTAGAGAACACAGTACTATTTCAAAGCATGAGGCATTTCATCAAAAGTAATACTGCAGCCTGGGAGAGGGCAGAGATTGCTCTTCTCAGTCTGTTACCAAAATACGCTACAGTAACACTGTGAGCAACTAAATAACAGTAGGAAATTTCAGGATGTTGTAGAAAAACATCATGGCAGAATAAGCTCTAACATTCATGTATAATACGAGCACAAGAGCATCAACGATCAAGTCCTCCTTCAAAGCAGACTGCAGCTGAAGACTGTAAGGATCGCGGTTTTTTTGACAGTTGCACACACCTGTCTGACACCACTGAAGATGCTCTGTCAATTGACCATCACAGCTACGGAAGTGATGCTTCAGGACTGGGCTGACAATTCCAAGTAACACCAGGCAACAAATCAGCAACATAAAGGATCCAGAAGCAACTTCTGTAGGGATCTGTTCCCACCCCAGTCTTTTCAGTGCATTCTGATTTGAAGAGCCAAATAATAAGACAACCTGCCTTCAGGAAAATGAATATAAACTCATCAAAAGTCAGGAGTTACTGCAGAAGACAGATACCTAAAGCCACTCCCATCATTGACAATATTTTTGTTATTTCAATTGTGTGAGCACTTCATAAAAATTATTCTAACACCAAACAGAAAATTATTTTACAATACACACGTCCCAGATTCAGCTTGGGTAACAGAACTCAAAGTTTTAGGCAGAAACTGCTTCTCATATTCAAGTCTACAGTCTCAACTTCCATGCTCTCCTTCAGCACTAGTTCCCTGCTACTCTAAGGAAAGCTGTAACATTAGTACAGTTTTGTGAAGCTTGACAAATTAATCATGAGAGTCTGGAACTATGGAATCACACATGCTGTAGTTACCGGTGTCCCGCCCCTAGCATCAGGTCTCACTGTAGTAATAGAGGTCCTTGACAGAAGATCAGGAAACACAACTTCCACTTTCAAAGATATTTAGCCAAGAACTTGTCATTAACTCATCAGCAAAGGAATATCCTTTATTATTGAGCTGAATAGTGCAACTGAAGCTTGCTTGGCTAAACAATTTTCTTGTGTATGGATTCTCTATAAACTTATACTTGAAAAGTGGCATAACATTTATTAAAGGAAAGCCAACAGAAAATAAAAGGGAAGAAGGTGAAAGATAAGGAAATGTGACTGGCATAGGTGGTGCTGCCTAGCAACTAAAGGACAGAACCTGCAGTGCCTGGATTCGATTCTTAGGTTTGCCTGGGACCTGGGTGACCTCAGGCAACTCCCTCATCCACCTGCCTGGAGATCTGTCAGTCAGAGATCAGTCAGAGTCAGTGACACTGACTTGTCTTACAAAGATAAATTAAAATATTAACTCAGTGTTCTATCACATTTTTACAGAAATAAAGCAAAGTAATGCAGACTATTTTTAAGATAATATTGGAATTTTAGACATACTTCTTGTTACTACAGGACTCAAAACTCCTAGCATATGACACATGTTAAACATTCGAATCTTAGCTTCCTGTAAGCAATTTTCTTTGTCAGTGTCAGTTTAGAATTAAAACACAGCAACCACAAGTCTTGTCCTCCCCAGGAGAGGCTATGGTTTGCAAAAACAGAACTTTAAAAATGTCTTTTAATTCTTCTGGATAACTTTAATGCACTCAATGCCTGACAGCACCACCCAAAAGAGAAAAGGAAGACGCTGTCCTTAAGCTAAATTTCTCACTTAAATTTCTCCAGCTCTGAAAGTGTACCCTGCTATCTTTATTTATTTCCCTCTACAAATATGCAGTGTCTTACTCCACAGACATCCAAGGGTCTTGGATTTTAGGAGTGCCAAAAACTATTTTTGAAATGACATCAGAAATCTGCTATGGTCAATCAATGCAGCTAGCACTTTTTCCATGAATAAAATAACCTTAAGATTAGAAAGTAACGTTTCCTCTTGACTGACTGAAATTTGACATCTGAAATACAGAAACCTCATGGAGTTCCCCAGAGGTGCTTTGTTTGAGTTTAGTCCCATCTACATGTTGATCAGATCAAACTGAATACTCAGCCTTACTAACTATCCATTTATATGTGAAAGTTACAGCCACAAAATAGTATAAGCTTCATTAAAGTGTTCTCTTTAGAAAGCTAAGATACCAGTTCAGATATCGGCAGGGTCAATTTGTGCTAGAGATAAAACATTTCCCTCAGAAATGTTCTAAGTCCACATTAACTTTCATGTTTATTTCAGCCAGAATTGGGCTGAAATAAATTTCCTTTAAAGTGATGTTCCTAACACTCCCCAAAGTAACCAGTCTGCTACAGCCTAAGCAAGAAGGCATTTAAAAATTACCACAAGGGTCTTACTTGAGCTCCTCTGAACTGGAGCCTTCCACTTCCCCCTTACAACCTGAATTGACCCCTAGGAGGTCACCAACCACCCCCCACCCATCTTTGCTTTAACTATTCTAGGTGCCTGACATCTTCACCTCTCAGCCTACTACAAAGCAAGGCCTAACCCCCTGTACCTATGGGTTCCCAGGCCCTGCCCACGTCACTGCTCCAGCCAGGAGCCACCCAGCCAGCACAGACCAAGGTGAGTTACAAAAGAACACGGGTTTGTGCCCCGCCGTCCCTTATCAATACCCTCGCTGCCACAGCTGGTTCCAGAGGCCTTCGTGTGACCCCGACCCACCCGCCCCCTGTGCCCGCAGGAGAGGCTGCCGGGGTCCCCCTTTCCTCTCGGGCTGCAGCAGCCCCGAGGGGCCCCAGCCGCTCACCCCTGCACGCCCGGGCTGTATTTTCTGGTCTTCCAGGGTGTGCCGGGGCTCTGCAGCGCTGGCTGAGGCAGCTGCCGCTGCTGGTGAGGGGAGCTGTTGACGGCGACGCCACGGCTGCCGGAGAGCAGGTAATTCATCCCATAGGTGCTGGCTTTATTCTCTCGTTTCCTGCGGCCCGGGTGGTACTGGTGCTGCTGGGGAGAGGCCGGTGGTGGCGGGTGGGGGCTGCGCGCCAGGTGCGGGGGCTGGTGGTGCCCGTTCACACCGTTCACTTTGTTCTCGTGGAAGTTAAAAAACTCCCCGGGTCCGGCCCCGCTGCCCAGCAGCCCGGGAGGAGCCACCGCCGCCGCCCGGGGGCCGCAGGAGGAAGAGGAGGAGCCGCCGCCTCCGCCGCCGCTGCACGATCCCGAGGAGGAGAAACCGGGGCTCTCGGTGCCGGACTCCACCGACGAGCAGGAGGAAGAGGAGGAAGACACGGAAGGCGACTTCTGCAGCCGCCGCCCTCCCTCGCCGCCGCCGTTCACCGCCGCAGGGCCGGGGGCGGCAGCGGGCACCAGTCCGGTCAGCAGGGCCGGAGGGGAAGGCGAAGGCGAAGGCGGCGAGGAAGAGGAGCAGCAGGCGCCGCCGCCGCCGGGCGCCCCGAGCCGCATGCAGCTGTGTCCGCGGGGCGGGGAGGAGGCGGCGGCCGAGTCCAGCGCCGGGGAGTTAAGGCAGAGGTAGTGCGGGAAGCTGGCGCCGCCCCGGCCCCCCACGCCCTGCGAGGTCTCCCAGATCTGCATCCACAGCGCATTCGCGGGGCCTTTCTGCTCGGGCTGGATCCAGGCCACGCGGGGATCCATCCACGCCCGCCCGCCCGGCCTCCGACCCTCACGGCCCGGCCAGAGCGACGACGACGCTGCCGCCCGCTCGCCGCGTACCCCCTCGCCTCAGCGCGCCGGGCCCGGCAGCGGCGCTAGACACGGGCCGGCAGCAGCGGCATGTGTCGCGGGGAGGGAGGGAGGGAGGGAGGGCAGAGCCGGGCAGAGCCGGGCAGAGCCGAGCCGAGCCGAGCCGAGCCGAGCCGAGCCGAGCCGAGCCGAGCCGAGCCGAGCCGAGCCGAGCCGAGCCGAG